ACAATCCTGGGCCTGTTCCTTCTGCAGATTGTCATGGCGGGACAATTTGGGGGTGGGGGAGGGGGTGAGAGGGGGCAGGATTGTCAGGGCATGACAATTTAAATTGTCATCCCGCTACTATTTGGGGCCCCTCCGGGCCCCACCTGCGTCACACTCTTCGTGTGGTCGCGGCGGCCAGATTGTCAAGCCATGACAATCTGCCCCCCCCCCCCCGCCCCTCCCAGATTGTCACGTTGTGACAATTTGAAGCCCTCTCGAATCCGGCCCATGTCATAGTCGGGGGGGGGGGGGGGAATGGGTGAGGGGGGGGGGATTGTCATTTCATGACAAACCTGGGCCTGGGCGCAGTGTTCTTGGATTTGATGCGGGCCGGCGGGGCTGGCCGGCGTGTGCCGCCTCCCTTTTTCCCCCTCTCTCTCTTCCTCTCTCTCCTTTCTGTCTCTCCCATGTCACTGTTGCAAGGCTCGTGTTTTTTTCACTGCGGCTTCGGAGGTCCGATCTGCCAGATGTAGAGGCGCTTCCAATCCTCTTCGGGATAGAAGCGCTTTAAAAAATCACGGAGAGGACTGGCCCTCTCGGGTGAAACCTGCGGCTTACAGTCCGAAGACCAGCGCAGTACTCGGCCCCGCCTTTCCACATCCTCGCCGTGGATCCGGACCGTAAGGGACCGATCGTCACCTTTCGGCTTGCCGGGTCGCACGGCGAGGATGGGTTGGGCGTCTTCCACTCTCAGGTTGACCTCCTTGAGCCAGTCTTCGATTCCTGGCGGCAGGCCTTGCCTCAGAGTGTTGCAGGCGCAAGCAACCCACAGAAATTCATTGCAAACCGAGGCCCCCACTCGAAGCGAAAAGCCGTCAGGGTGCGGTTCAGGCACCCCTCCCGCCTCATCGCTTTCCTTGCGTTCTTGCTCACCTGTCGAGGCTTACGTGAAGAGCATTCGCCTTTCAGCCGAATCCGGCCTTCGAGCTCATGTCTCCAGCAGGTCCCGTCGAGTGGCTTTCGCGCGAGGCCGAGCTTGAGCTAAAAATCTGCAATCGACAGGGACTTGTAGTCGTGTGGAGCCCGAACCGAGTGAGTGAACATGTTATGTTCTACTCCCCGTTCCACAGGGATGGTCGGCATCGGCTGTTCGGGTGCGACCGCCGGTTGTAGAAGTGCACCGTGTGCAGCCGGTCCACCCCCAAAAAAATTGTTGCGGGATGACAATTTAGATTGTCATGCCGTGACAATCCTGGGCCTGTTCCTTCTCCAGATTGTCATGGCGTGACAATCTGGGGGGGGGCGAGGGGGGGCAGGATTGTCACGGCACGACAATTTAAATTGTCATCCCGCGACAATTTGAGGCCCCTTCGGCCGCCACCTGCGTCACACTCTTCGTGTGGTCGCGTCGGCTAGATTGTCACGCCCTGACAATCTGCTCCTCCCCCCCCGCCCCTCCTCCCCCCCGTCCCCACCAGATTGTCACGCTATGACAATTTGAAGCCCCTTCGAACCTCGCTCGCGTCACACTCTGGGGGGGTGAGGGGGGCAGGATTGTCATCTGATGACAATCTGGGGAAAAGGGGGGGGGGGCGGGGGTGGGAAGCGAGCGAGCAGGATTGTCATGGCACGACAATCCTGGTATGTGACCACCTTCAAATTGTCATGCTATGACAATTTGGAAGGGGGCGGGGGGGGGGGGAACAAATTGTCTTGTGCTGACAATGTGGCCTTGTCGCAGGTTGTTCTGGTGTGACAATCTTGGGCTTTCTCCCGCAGAATTGTTACACCGTGACAATCTGGAGGGAAGAGGAAGAGGGGGTGGGGGTGCGAGGAGGTTGTCACGTCGCGACAATCTGGATGGGGGTATGGGGTTAGATTGTCACGTTGTGACAATTTAAATTGGCACGTCGTGACAATTTGGAGCGCTTGGGTTCTCGCATGCGTCACACTCTTCGTGGGGTCGGGGCTGCACGGATTGTTGCGCCGTGACAATCCAAAGCCCCTTTCGACCCTATCACGCGTCACACTCCTGCTGCCCTGCTTCGTGTCCTGGCAGGTTCTTCCTGCTACTTCCTTGGACTGCTGCTGCTGTGGTTCCTATTGCAAAGGTTGCTCCTTTGCTCTCTAGCACGATTATCTGACGTTTGACCCTGTGGACCCGTTTGATGGGCTGCGCACGTTTCGCTTGGATCCCTGTCGGATTGTGTCACGATATCAGCAGGCTTGCATACAGAAAGAGGACGCGTTTCGACTTGGGCCTTTGATTGTTCAGAGAGTGACTATTTTCAAAGCAAGCATATACAAGGAAATGGCTGAGAGGGGCCTTTCAGTTTTTAAGATGCGGCTCGGGGGGGGGGGGGGGCTGGCCGGTGAGATGTCGGGTCGCCATGTCCAGTCTATTCCTGTCGCTCGAGGACGCAGCCCGGTGCAGCCTGAGATAAGACGCAGCCCGGGGGAGCGTGCCCGGTGAGTGCTCTTCCATGCCAGCTCCTCTTCTCTCTGTTGTTTCATTTCTGAGCGGCCAGCCTTTGAACTCTTCGGCTTCAGTTGCTTGCTGGACTCTCTCATGACTTTGATGGCATCAGGTCTTCCTTTTCCCACTGTCTGGCCAGTCCCATCGGCAGTATCCCTTCAGGAGCTTCTGCCACTGGCATTGTGGCCGAACGGCTGCACAGTTCAATTCTGCAGAGGTCGATCTGGTTCATGTAGTGGGCTCCGCCGCCTTAGGGGCCTAAGATGTACCACTACGCTATCGCGGCGGAGGCAGACTGGGGGGGGGGGGGGGGGGGGGGGGGGGGGGGGGGGGGGGGGGGGGGGGGCGGTGTTCCGGTCTGCTGGTTCTCGAGATTTAGTTGCGCTTGTCCTTTTCGGAAGAGGACAAGCAGCTCTAAATCCAGGATCTTGCTGATTTAGTTGCGCTTGTCCTTTGGAAAAAGGAGAAGCAACTCTAAAGGAGCAAAATGACAGGGGTGGGATTCGAGCTTGTGCGCGTGTGTTCCTGGGGGGGGGGGGGGTTCGAGTCCATGGAGTTTGGCATGAGGGCTTGTGAGTTTATGTGGAAGTGGAGGGGGGGGGGGGGCTCTGGAGGGCTTCCATCTGTGGACTCTGAATCGCTCCAGCCAAGGTCTGCGGGCTCGAATCCCGGCCACGTCATTTACTTTCAACCCCGACAAAAAAGGAGATCCCGGTGCTCCGCACCACCCCCCTGAAAGGCAGCGTCCCCTGTCTGCCTCCGCCGCCATAGCGTAGTGGTAAAACTGATGCCCTTAAGGCGGCGGAGCCCACTACATGGACTTGCTCGAGCTCGAGCCAGCTGACAGATGGCACTGCGGAGCTTGACAGACTGAAGCCACAGTCGGCAAGTGGGCTAAGGAAACAGAGAAGGCCCAGAACGAACAGAGTGATACAATCGAAGCCTTGAAGCTGGCAAAGAGGATGGAAGGCAGACTGGCCGAAAAGAGGGCCTCAAGAAGGAGCTGGCAAGCTGGTCCACTCACCGGGCTGCTCCCCCGGGCTGCGTCTTGCTTTGGGTGTGAACTGAGCTGGGCTGGGCTTAGACTGGGCTGGGCTGGCCTGGCCTGGCCTGCTGGGCTGGGCTGGCTGGGCTGCTTGGGGGGGGGGGAACAAGACGCGGCCCGGGGGAGTTTACCCGGGGAGATCTTCTGGTCGCCACCTCCTTCTGGTTCTGGCCGGTATGCAGGTCTTGGCCAGGCTTTCCGGTACTTCCCGTCTGGTAGTTTCGCCATTCTGCCTGGGCATGTTGCTCGGATGGCTGTCTTGCGTCCGCCGTCTCTGTGGCCTCACTTTAACGGCTGCACAGCTTCAGACTTGGCAGTCAGTTGGAGTCGGAGTCAGTCGATGTAGTGGGCTCCGCCGCCTTAGGGGCCTAAGACGTACCACTAGGCTACCGCGGCGGAGGCAGACGATGCACAACAAATCGTAGAAGCTCTAGGTGCGGGGGCAAAAGCAGATAAGACGCAGCCCGGGGGAGCGTGCCCGGTGAGTGCTTCTCCATGCCAGCTCCGGCTTCAGTTGCCAGTTTCTCTCCCCTTCTGTCTTGCCGACTCCGGTCAGGGGGATGCACCCCAGCTTCCCCCCATCTATGTGGGGTGGGGTTTGAAGCTTCATGTTGAGCTGTACGCTGGTGAACGGGAACGGCTCCACAGCCTCAAAGTTTGCAGTCAGTCGGAGTCGAGCCAGTCGATGTAGTGGGCTCCGCCGCCTTAGGGGCCTAAGAAGTACCACTACGCTACCGCGGTGGAGGCAGACGACGCGCATCACATATTAGCTAGTGCTTTGGCACGGGGGGGGGGGGTCTCAGCTGGAAAAGGACAAGCAGCTCTAACAGAGTAAAAATGACAGGGTTGGGATTCGAGCCCACGGATCTTTGCATGAGGGCTTGTGAGTTGGGGGCGGGGGGGGGGCAAGCAGCTTTGACAGAGCAGAAATGACAGGGGCGGGATTCGAGCCCACGGACTTTGGCATGAGGGCTTGTGAGTCGGTCGGGGGGGGGGACAAGCAGCTCTGACAGAGCAAAAATGACAGGGGCGGGATTCGAACCCACGGACTTTGCCATGCGGGTTTGTGAGTTTATATGGAAGTGGGCGGGGGGGGGAGGGAAGGAATCGAGAAGTTAAGACGCAGCCCGGGGGAGCCTGAGATAAGACGCAGCCCGGGGGAGCGTGCCCGGTGAGAGCTCTTTCATGCCAGCTCCAGTTTCAGTTGTGCCAGACTCTCATTCTGAAGCTTCCGAGTCGCTGCCAGACCCTCATCCTCATTCTGGGTCTTGGCGATCCTGCCGGTAGTTGCCGTCTCTAGTCCGCCGAAGCCACTTGACTTCTTTGCCGCCGTTGAGGCGTCGGACTTTGCAGTCGGTTGGAGTCGAGCCAGTCGATGTAGTGGGCTCCGCCGCCTTAGGGGCCTAAGATGTACCACTACGCTACCGCGGCGGAGGCAGACCACGCGCATCACATTTTAGCTAGTGCTTTGATATCCAGGATTTTGTACATTAGTCGCGCTTGTCTTTTTCGGAAAAGGACAAGCAGCTCTGAATCCAGGATTTCGTGCATTCAGTCGCGCTTGTCCTTTTCGGAAAAGAACAACCAGCTCTAAATCCAGGATTTTGTACCTTTGGTCGCGCTTGCCCTTTTCGGAAAAGGACAAGTAGCTCTAAATCCAGGATTTTGTGCATTTAGTCGCGCTTGTCCCTTTCGGAAAAGGACAATAAGCTCTAAACTCGAGATTTTCTATTTCTTTGGTCCGGAAATTCGGAAAATTGCTGGTGATTTTCAAGTGATAAATTCTGTTCATAAAATGTGCCTTTTAATAGGAGCCGGCTGCGAATCTCGAGGTCCCCCCTTTCTTTTCGTGTGGCTGCTCTTAGCCTTCTGGTTTGCTACATTTAGTCGCGCTTGTCCTTTTCGGAAAAGGACAAGCAGCTCTAAATCCAGGATTTTGTGAATGTAGTCGCGCTTGTCCTTTTCGGAAAAGGACAAGCAGCTCTAAATCCAGGATTTTGCGCTTTAGTCGCGCTTGTCCTTTTCGGAAAAGGACAAGCAGCTCTAAATCCAGGATTTTGTAGATTTAGTCGCGCTTGTCCTTTTCGGAAAAGGACAAGTAGCTCTAAATCCAGGATTTTGTGTATTTAGTCGCGCTTGTCGTTTTCGGAAAAGGACAAGCAGCTCTAAATCCAGGATTTTGTGCATTTAGTCGTGCTTGTTCTTTTCGGAAAAGGACAAGCAGCTCTTAATCCAAGTTTTTTGTGCATTTAGTCGCGCTTGTCCTTTTCGGAAAAGGACAAGCAGCTCTAAATTCGAGATTTTCTACATTCTTGCCTCCGGAAATTCGGGAAATTGCTGGTGATTTTCAAGTGATAAATTCTGTTCATAAAATGTGCCTTTTAATAGGAGCCGGCTGCGAATCTCGAGGTC